TTTTAATCAGAAATGATAGCGATACGCAATTTCCTGACGAATAAATTTCAGATGATTCGATGAGATCATATAATTTTGCGACGTATATACGAGGAAAGTATTGCATTTCGAACTATTCATTATTTTGCTGTATTACTGAGAATCGTCTGATTTCGTGACAGAAATCTATTTGTTCTCCGCTTATATGAAAGTAGTTTAGTTTATGAACGAAATGTCCTCTCCATCTTGTTATCGATTTTTGGATGAATTAATATCGAGGGCACGAAAGAATTCTAGAAGGAAAGAAGGAAAGAGCGGAAATGGAAAACTCATAACAGATCTGTTCTTTGGCTTTGAAAAAAGTACATTGATAACTTTCTGAGAATCGCTGAAAGATCTATCACGATCGCTATAATTCGACGTTACGTGGGAAATGCCATCGATCCCGACGACGAATAGATTTCTATTTGATAAATCGACCGCATCCATCATAAGTTCTCAGCAGTTCCAGTTAAGTGACATTCGTCGGGCTTTGCATTTGTCAAGCTTCACGATCGAGTTAGTCAGCTTACAATTTGCTTAACATGCGCATAGACATTAGCGATTCTCATTCAAATCTTTCTCTTTGATCTATACACAATATTACTATAATGCTATTTGTCACTATAATGTTATTTGTCATATTTAATATTAAATAAAGAAAATAATACAATAAACAAATATGAGAGAAGCAAAGCGAATCTCGTAAACAAAATGACAAATTTATATAATATAGAAAATAATTAACACACATGGATATATGAAATTCGAGTTAATAAATTTTGCAGTTGTTAAGATAAAACGTTTGAAATGCAAAAAAAATTTTGCATATATCAGCAAAAGTACTTAAGGCGAAAGAAACCATTCCAATTTTTTCCAGGGATCCTCGAAAATTTTACAAATACCTTTCTATGCTGCGTCCGCACTCCCGTCTCTTGTTTGATTTGATATTATCATAGGAGTCCTCTAGCCTACTTGACGTTATAAAATGTTGAAGAATGAGAGCAAATACCACCGGAGAAATAGTCAGCAGAAATTCAAGGACGAATATTCCTTCGTCCTGTATTTCGGAATTTATTTGCATCTTTGTGCGCATCTTTGTGAGCTCTTTTTATTACTTCAAACAAAGGAACGAGTCACAAGGCGATTTCGACACATGAGGGAAGAAAGCAAGTTATCGCCGTAACGCGGGTCACACACATAGTTTTAGAATTGATGAAAAATGAAAGCAAATCGACGGGCTACACGTGAAAAGTTTCCGAAATGGAATCCTTTCTCACGAATCTTTTCTCAAGCTCGATGAAATGCTTAAGTCGACTCGAGTTTCTTTTGAGTGTAATTCTCGAAGACAGGAAGTTACGAGACCAGCGTGGATGGTACGGCCTTTCCCTAGCAACTATGACGTCAATCAAATATCTCGCATTACGAAACAAAGCTCCGCGGATCGGACAGCAATATTATTGCGCTTTATCGATATAAAATTAAAATATTTTTTGAAACTTGAAAATTAAACTCAAGTCGCTTCTGTAAAAATTATGAAAAACAAACTTATTTGCAATTCGGACGGGAATTTCATATTATATTCATATTATATTCTATAGCCGCAAGCGTGTTGGACAATATGCAAATATGCGACTTTGTCTTGAAAAAATTGCAACATCTAATTGCGAAAACATGAAAAAAGTTCTTCGCGTGTTTCGCTCCACAGGATTATTAAATAATTCTTCAGATAGCGACGCACCACAATCGCGCACGAATGCTTTTGCTTAATTTCATTTTCGGTAAGGATGATAATTCATGTAGCGTTTCAGATAATGTCTTATCTTAAGTTACAAATAAAAATCAAACGATTAACGAGCAAAGTTGGCAATTAGCAAAGTGATAATCAACCTAGTAATCCTATATCACGTATGCTAATGAGTTGCGAACTATTTGATGCATCTGCAATGATATGCAAGTATTATAACGAACTAAGTATTATAACAAAATTACCCACACACACATACATTTAAATATGTAATAAATTATATTTAAATATATAATAAATACAAGTAATCTAAAAGAATATAAATTCCAGTGAACATTAATATTAATATTGAAAAAAAGAAATGTTTGTATTTCACGATTATATAATTTAAGTGTAAAATTGCAAATTTACACAATCCTATAAATTGGATTTGACATTTAGGATAGTGATAATTTTTGCCACGAAACAACACGAATGATTTATATCTCGATATACATATTAATTGAAATACATACAAAAAGGTTTTCAAATATAGCTCGCTCGTCGCAAATTGCACTAACCGCAGACTCGAGTGGTTAATATTCGCTTGAAGCACATTTTTCACAAAAATGGCACATACGGATAAATTTCACGCATAAAATACGGCACATATAATGTCGTTACGTATAATTGCTCTGTGATTATATGTTCGGTAAATTTTTCTCATCGTTATAAACTCGCAAAATGAGTTGTCAATTTTGCGAGGTAATGCACAATTATAGAATTTAAGATTTAATATATAATAGATATGTACGCCGTATGTAATTGTAACCGCTATTAAATATTTGAGTACTAATCTCTCCGAAAGTTGTCGCAGAGCTGCGACACGCGGCAATCCTGTTATAATTTCTGCGGTTACGGACTGCCGCGTCGTCTCGAAATTCAAATCGGGTTTTGCAGGCGCGCCTCTGGTAATTAGAAAGTTCATTACCCTGACAACAGATTGACAACAGCAGAAACCCGTATCACCGCTGTCGCAGCTCGGCAATTCTACGAGGTCTCCCGGCTTTACCGCTTTAGACTTGCATCTATCTGCATTCGTATCATCGGCAGGTATCCGCTATTGATGGCAAAGCCCACACGCATCGCCCACTAGAAAACCGTCCGTCCATCCTACGTCCTGCGTCAGAAAGTCACTCGCGGATAACAATATCAATTGTTAACTAAAATACAAAACCTCTCTCTGTACACATACATACTGTATAAGACAGCTATAACTATTTATTTCGTATGGATCGAACATTGAAAGTCTTTGTTGAAGTAAACGTTATTTCTAGTCTCATAAATTTGGATCTTTTTGTCGTAGCCAGATCTCAGGAGCGTTGAAAATTCAATATCCGAATAATCTTTCAAATAGGATTATCATGTTTTAGATTATGGCAATGCCGCCCGATTCGATTATGCATTATGAGATTTCGCGGCGTCAAAATCATACGGTATATTCTAGGCACAGGACATGTCTGTAATGTCGTTATCGCTTAACACAATTTTCACATAACATCTTCGTCGCATAGAATATTACGAGCTATATTAGTTTCATCAATTAACGAAACTGATCTAGCTAGACTAAAATTCTTTCTTCCGAATTATCAACTCACGCGTATTTTCGTGTTCGATGTTACACTACGAAAGATGATGATAAGAAATTTCACATTGAAAATTAAGATATTAACACATTTCAGAAAGACATTGATTCTAAATTCGATTCGAAAAAAGAGAATTTATCGCTAAAATATTTCTCATACATTTTATTCAGTTTACGGTACACATACGCGCATAACGCCTTGCATAAGTTATCTTATATGTTAACTACTATAAAGTGGTTAACATATCGCATTTCCTGTGACAGAGGCTTATTCTATAGAATGTTTACAAGCTGCGACATGCGACAAGCAGCGACTGGCACAATGTCGTTCCGAGTGATATCATTATTTCGCTGCGCCATGGAAGTTATTGTGGGCGATTTACTAATGCACGTCGAACATCATCCCTCGGATTTATTTCGCTACCGTCGTTTCATCCGAGATCCTGCCGGAAAAGTTGGTGTCGATCCTGAGGGAGAAAAATAATTGGAAAACATCGTCGCACAAACTAGATGAACGATGATACAGTCCAATCTTGTCATTATTTTGTTCGTTCGACCATACATATTATCGAAAGCATTCTAATATATTTATATAGTTCACGTCGACTAATTTACGAAAAAAATATGACATGGATGAGCGGGAACAAGAAGAGAAAGATATTTATTTTCTATTTCTTCATTTCTCTCATGCAAAAGGTATCGCGCGAAATGTTACTAAAAATGGAAATTCAATCCCGTACAATCTGAGCATCCGACATAAGATGAAATTAACTTTTCCCTTGTTTAAGCACGCATAATTCATAAAATAAAAAAAAATACTCTTTCGATTTTATGCATCTAGATAAATACAATTTTTTTTATATGACTCGTTTTGTAAAATAACAAAACCACTTTATTCGTGAATAAGTAAAACTAAGAGGGTGTAATGTGCTTATCACATATGTTCTAAAGCACCGCATAATGCTTAAATATCGCAACAACGTGGTTTGTTGCCACGCGGACCCAAGGTGTTAATTACTTGGCCACGATATCATTCTTGATTACGAGACACGAATTTTAATCTCAATAATCTGCTTTGCGCACGATTAAATTTATAAAAGTTCCATTATCTTGACAATAATCATCCCGATTGGAAGTAGATGCAACTGCTTTTGATCATAAATACTTGCGATTTACGTAACGACAGCATAGCGAATAAAAGAAGATGAGTCTTTCACAGGAAATATAACGATCGGGAATTATTTATTTCAATAGATATATAAAGCGTTCTCTCTTCAATGCAGAATACAATACAAAATAATCAATCAAAGTTTTCCACAGATTTTTGTCTCTTATATTTTTTCCACTCAGAGAAGCAATGCATAGAACGCACATTAGCTTACAAATTTTCGTCGTGGAAAAAAATCGATCGCAGCCTATGGATGAATATTTCTCCGAGGAAAAAACGATAAGTTCCGCCGATGGCGACGAACAATTCGCCGTTATCACTTCATTTTTTTCCCCAAATCACCCCCCATAGAATAGAATCGCGCCGTAAACGCGCGGCGAACAGCGTCGACAATCGTGGGAGCTTTCATTGAACGCCGAAATGGCATTGTGTGTGTGTTTCAGCAGCATCCGAACGCGACCAACAGTAGCGAGACGAGCGTGGGTGGCGTGTCGGGTGCGTGCGGAAGCAGCGGCATACCGGCGCCCGGGGAGGCCGGATGCAGCAGCAGGGGTGGAAGCAGCAGCGGCGCCGGCGGCGGCGGGGGCGGCGGCACCGGGGCCGGACAAGGCTGCGAGCAGACCCGCGGGGGCCCGTCTTCTCATTCACGGGAGAGCCACGCCAAATTTCGACACGGCCTGCTGCAGCTTATGATCCACACGATCGATCCGCTCCACGACGGTCAGTCCCGCGCCGGTATACCAACTCCACACTCTATCACTCTCGCTTGCAGCTTATGGCTTTTCTGTTTAGCACGTCTAAATTTGTGTCCCGCCTGTTCTCTCTGTCCCTCGCGCGTCCCAGGTCTCGTGTAAATAATAATACGCGAATAATCCGCGTCCACTTCTGTCATCATTCTCAACTTTTTTCTTTATGATACGATTTGTTTGCTCGTGTTAGAAGCTTTGAAAAAAATATATTGTAATTTTATTATAATCCTGTAAGAATCTAATTTGATCTCGATAACATTTACAAAAGAGTACCTATTATAAGTAAGAAGAAGGTATGCATATATGGTATAATATATATACAGTACCGGTCAAAAATATATCACCTTTTTTAAGGATAATTTAATTCAAAGTGTATGTATTTAATTAATTTTTCTTAAGTTGCTGTGTTCATTATTGAATGAAAAGTCTATTGTTAAATAATCTATATACTATTAAAACAGGTGACTAGATAGAAATATATACACTTTGAATTAAGTTATTCACTTTGAGTCAAGTTATTCTCAAAAAACGTAAAGGTGATATATTTTTGGCCGATACTGTATGTATATTTTTTTTAATAACAATATTGCACATGCAAAATATATTTATTCAAAGCAATGAAATATCGAAGCTGATTTTTTCTTGCTGGAATAAATGAATGTAAATATAGGCGAATCTTTTATAGCTCTCTCTTTCCCTTTCATATAAAACAAAAATCAGACAAGATTGAAGTGGTCGTGACGTGAACATGCGGAAAGTTTAGCGGTGATAACAAAGTTTCCGCGGAATTTCAAACGAATATTAATAAATGCTCGATCGATTCCAATTAAGAATCTCCCATTAGTAGAACGTCGCGAAACGCAGCTCGACAAAATTTTTTTCTAGCAACGCAATTCTATTGCAAATTTCTCAATTATTATTTTACAACTATCAATTTTCGCTTAGATAACAATCAAAAACATAATTGTGATGTTATCTGATAGTCTTTTTCTTCGTTGTATACACTTCGTTGTTAGTTTGTAGAATTGATAGATGAGGCTTTTGTGATAATAGTGCCGTAGGCAAACTGAATCGGCGGACTTTTGAAAGCTGATTTCGACGACATTTCTTTCAGACAAGTCGCAAAATTTCCGACAGCTCGACGGATAAAGTGTTTAAATGTAGAACTATATATGCGACCGTTTAATAAAAATCCCGCAACTTTACGTAGACAGACAGAAAGGCTAATATATATATATGCATGTATATATATATATGTGTGTGTGGGTGTGTCTGTATGTGTGTATACTTAAGCCTTTAATCTCTTCGAAAATTCTACCGCGTGAGATAAAATTTCATTTCCGTAATTTAAATGCCGTAATTAAATTTCACGTAGTAAGATATCTCGCGACTAAACTTAATTAATAAATTCATAATTTCTTAATGATAAGCAAGTAATAATTTCTCAAAGATTTAAAAAATTATGTCTACACGATTCTGGATGTGAAAAGAGTTTAAAGTTACAGTTTTGAACATTGTGATTTATATGATTATTACAAAAGAATTTTTTAAATAAATTAGCGTATATTTTAATATTTAACTCATGGTACTTCTAATTTTTATACAATTTTTGTGTTGTGAAAAACAAAAAGCACGGACGGTTTTTCTCCTTATAAATTAACGAAAATGGTTCAATTATTTTATCTTGTGAAAAGCTTGACTTAAAAGAAGCGAATTATAGATTTGACAAACAAATTAAGTGGAAAACTTTCTCTCTTCTGCACATCTTTCTGCAAATTGTCAAGTGAAACACTGAGAGCATCGCTCATTTATAACGAAAATCTGAAAATGTGCGTGAAAGAAGGATAGTGTACACATTTTCGGAAGATGCATGTTGAGACTTGACAATCATAGTTTTATGAGAAACGTAGCTGTATGCGTACATATTAGTCTTTTGCTGCTTTGAGTTTATTTATCGGATTTACAGCATGCATATTATATCGATTGCAACGGTAAGAATCATTTAATGCACGATATATGTACTTATAGTGCGTAGAAGAACGGCATCTATATAGTTCTCCATTTCTTATATTTATAGAATTCTAGAGTCATAACGAATATATTTCATATAATGTTATCTTAATAAATATACAAAGTATTATTGAGTTACATTCACATATATGTGTGTATGCTATATAAACCTGATATACGCGATAAAAAACTCCTCTTGCAGGAATTTTGTATCGAACGCCCTTAGAGCTTGATTGGTTTAAATTTTCACTGTGTTCGGGATGTGTCCAAAAATAGTTATCGATGACGAACGTGATCGCCGAAGAACGCGGCTTAGGTTATAGCCTCTCTGTTAATAAATAATTCGGTGGAGATTGGAAAAGCGTAGGAAGGCAATGCCATGATGATGCTTTTCACTCTAAATTATTAGCGTTAATCGTTTCCAATATTTAATAACACATTATATTTCGTTATTTCAAGTTCATTATATTAATTCAAACGTTACTCCATAATTGATGCTTAACTCCTCGTTTAGCTCGTATCGATGCTATGTCGTGCTTTAATTTATTTTCTGCGCTGTAAAAAAAGACGACCTATCATCAAATAGATTTGCGTCATCTATATATTAAGAATTTCCGTTCGTCTCATGAATAAAAGTATTTTTACATATCCAATTATTTTCACATCGCTATGCGTCCGCAACTGAATATGTCATAACACATGTACATTTGCCGCCTCTCTTACAAATATTCATGACCATCATGAATGTAAAGTATTTGTTATTATACATGCGCAAGAATAATTGAACTATTTATGAATAGAAATAACTAAAGCCGGATAAATTCTATGAAAAATTCGTTAATAACAATGGAAACATTTATTATTATAGTTATAAACAATGAAAATTCGATTTAATCTGATTACAATGTGAATTTCAATCAATCATCACGTTATGAGTCTTTCCATTAAATGCTAGACATGAGTGATTCATAAAACTTCGACTAAAATACAGTTAATCGATAAGAATTCCATCTGATATGTCGAGAGTTTGGAATACAACTTCATTCAAACTTATCGTTATAATCAGTCATCGTAAATAGTTGTCAAATTGAATCTTACATACATAACATACTCTACGATCGTTATGTTGAATCACGATTAAGGGCAAAATAGAATTTTATTTTACTAAGGGATACGAGAGGATAATTAAATATACACAATCGCGATATATATCGACGCGAATAGAGAACAGAGAAAGATAAAATGGGCGCCGATACGATGCGTGAAAGTATCGCTTTGGTACGATAAGACCTAAAAAACGAATACGAGTCCATGATATTTCTCTCTTGTTCGCGGACATCCCGTATCCGCATTTATAGATCAAAGCGCTTTGGGGGGAACATTATTTTATTGTGATATCGCGTCACAGTTGCCGCATACGCGTGCAGGTGGAATTAACGAAAGCGGAAAATGGAAAACGCGATAACGTTTCCATTTTCTAAACCGCCAGATTATCGGATTACAACGCAACGGCCCGAATTTTGTCTCTCGTCCCGCTGAAAAACCGCGCCGTTAAGCCGACCCTTAGCTCGGTTCTCTGACGTAAATTCAATGCTCATCAATCTTATTCGTATCGCTAAATAAATAATGTATAAAACAGAGCGACGGACCATTCAGTACACGGGCATTCGTGACAGACGAGAAAATCTCCGCGGAAAATGTCGGCTTAAAGCCAACGTGCGATGTATCATTTAAGATCGTTTCGGTCAATACTTTTTATTAATCCAAACGCGCAAAAATGGAGGTGAGATAAAAATATTGTGAAATTCTTTGAAAGAAACAACCTCGCTGTGTTGATTCCCTTTGACTCTGTTATGTACGTATCATTAATACGAATCGGTTCAGAAATAAGTACAGAGTTTAGATTTTGTCTCTTAGGGATAAAACGCGACGACGGTGGCGAATCACACGAAAGAATCTAATAGATGGTCACCTTTTCTTCGCAGTAGTAATGTGTGACCTGACCTATTTGTGTGACCGTCTTCAGCCTCTACATACGTCGTATATAGACGGCTCCGAAATCAATCCTACGAGGTTGCCAGGCTCGCTCATGGATTAAGATCCTTATCAATCTCGTGCCGTGCACGAGTTTTCTGTATTTAATTTAACGCTTAACAAACGCCATCGCATGAATTCATTTGAGAACCGCGAAAAGAAACGGCTCTCTGTCGTTTTCAAAAATAAACTTGCGATTTTTTATTAGATCGATCGGATAATTTTGTGCGAAGGGATGCTGAAGAGAGGAGAAAAGATTGCGAAAAAATTATTTTCCCATGATTTCAGTGCAAATATCATTTAAAAAGAAAAACGACGCAATTGGCGCAATTATGGATATTTAATATATCATTGTGGAAATTCGGGAATTATCGCTAAAGAGATTGTATCACCGAAAGCTTAACGTACTGTAACAATTTACCATAATTATTATACAGCTGCAGAATGCCGTATCGCGCGATTCATTTGAGAGACACGGCAATAAATATGTTACCAGTGTTCGAATATTACAAAGATGTCGGAAAGGATAATCTATCTATTGTACAGAATACATAATCATAATATTATATGCCGATATTACATACTAGCAATTCCGCCTTAGATTGATAAGTCGCGGATTACGCCGGTAAGTCACCCTCGATATTCCTTCCGCTTTTCCCCTGGCAATTCTATTTCGTGTCCATTACGTCGCTATCATCTCTTTTCCATTAAATACGCGCATTACTCTCAAGAAATTAATTGTAAACGTATTATTTTTAATTAATGTTATGTTAATTATCTTGAATGGATGACTAAAATTGTGAGATTTTTACGATCATATGTCATCCCAGTGTCATCACTCGTCTATAACCTCTGGTGAATCGTATTTCGTTGAGACAATATTTACCGTATATAAATTCCAATTTCTTCTTCTTCCAAAATTGTCATATGCAAACACTTCCC